CTTTACCTCAATACGCATCAAAGATATAATAAGTTTTTCTATAATGTGCAAATTATCAATTGACAAAGGTAGCTTAATCTTTTGAAGCAAACCTAAATACCAAACACCTCTTATTTTCTAATCCAATCCGTATATATTATAATTATAATCTGAAATCAATTAAGTTGGGTTAAATATTAAGAACATACTGAAAAAAATTAAGAATATTTAACTTACTGAATGTATGTATCTCTAGAGTAAAAAATTTGTAGAATTTTTCTGATTTTACGCTATTATTTTTTATTTCTTCATTTATCAACACGTTCTGTAACGTAACTGATAGATTTACCTTATCCATCCATTTTTGCTTTTCAGTGATGCAGGAAGGCCACTGGATCTTAATTCAATCAACATTTAAAATTGATCTTTGCTAACTCTAAAGTCTACTTTCTGATCAATTAAGCTTCTATTGGTAGACCTGAATTTCATGTTGGTGATTACTGATGAAGCAAGTCCTTGAATCTCACCTCTGCATATTACAATTAATAGTAAATGAATGAAACTGAAAAATACATAAATAATAAATATCAAAAACCTACTCTTCATAATGATAGGTTCAATCAAAGGTCAATATTCCTTTTATAATTGCGTTAGTGAAATTACTTCTAAAGGCAATTTCAGACATTGACAATTGCAAGCATTAAAGATTGTATATATTATTTAATTTAAAGTTGTTAAATATTATGACTATCAGGTCCTAATACTATTAATAGGTAAAAAATAACATTTACTATGTCTGAATAAATCTTCTGATTGTATTTACTTTTATATTATCTTATAAATGATAATAATTAGACCTGCGCTTCCATAAGAAACTAATACAAGTGATATAAAGTAATATACATACTTCAATCACACAGCTTTCAATGCCAGTAATTAGATCAGTAGATTTCTTTATTAATACCTAACATAGAGAACAGAAAATGATTTAATTAGTCGATACATTAAATGAAAGGTAATACTACAAATTTGCTAATCTTAGAAATTTTGTCCATCAGCTCATAGAAGGGCCTCTCTTGTTCATCTTTCATATTACTTAATTTTACATTATTATTAAAATCCTTGATCATCTCATTCCATTCATCATTTGTAAACAAATTCTTTACTTCTGTATTCTTACTGGAAAGATCCAATATTCTGAAATAAATCAGACTGTAAATAACAATATCAAAGTCGGGAAGTTAACACTGGAAAATATGTTTATACTTATAAATCAAGTGTAACTTACTAAAGATATGTTTTTTGTGCGAGAAATATTTTCACAGTATTTAAATAATTCTTCACCAATATCCTTACCACTCGACAAAATCTAACTTTCAATGGTATTAGCTGAAGCCTAAGTTAGAAATGATGATATTAGATGAGCATTAAATAACATAAGTAATACAGATATTATTATACTAACTATGTTAGATGGAATTTCTTCTTCGAAGCACTCTTCATAATCGGATACATTTTTTTTATAATCTTGATACTCTTCATAATCGCTGAAATCGTTATCTGACTGTGAAGTTGAGCTTCTGCATTTCAATTCTATATCGTACACATTTTCAGGATGTTGCTTTTTTTCGAAAAAATAGTAAAGTTATAACGCATTTGTTTAAAATGTATCACTAAACTATTACTAATCTCATTATATTGAATAACATTTTCTTCTTTATTTCCTTTGACTATTAAATCTGAAACTAATATTTTACCTAAAAATTTACGATAGCTTAGAATATCCCCTTTCACTTCTGGTTTACTTAGCCTGATTTTCATCACCATCTAAGAATTAAAATTGCGGTTCATTAGGAACAAAATTATAAATAATAGATATATCAAAAAGATGCATTTACAAGAAGAATACATGTACTTACCACTACAATTTAATCATCTTTTTCATGTTTCCATTTGGAAGCTTTACCTGAGATTTCTATTTCTAAAGTATGTAATTTCTGTATATGTGTTAAAATCAAATTTATAGATAATATGCATAATGAATTCAGTTAATTATCATAGATAATGCAGTATGTATTTTATGGTCTTCAACAGTAAGCTGAACTTCTATATCAAACAATAATTTTTTTACAAATAATAACTGCCTTTTATGTTTTTCAATCACCTGTAAAATCAACGGTTTTATGTTAGATAATGAAAAGGAGTAATCATTAATAAAAGTAATTTACCTTTGTATCCATTCTTTTAAAAATTGCTATAACTTCTTTATATTCAAATGTCAGATCTGCTTCATCCAAAAGTCTTTTAGCCTTTTTTTATGCAGATTTTGTTACTGTTTTATGATTCATTAATGAATGGATATGACTCTTGAATTCAGTTTGAACTAATTCTTTGTCAAACGTTCTAAAATCTAAGGATTTATTTTTCAAATATTCTAAGCATTTAGTGAGAAACCAGTTTTTAAATGAAGTTTGTTCAAAAAAAAGTGAGATTTCTTCTGATAAATTCATTTCTGAAAAACAATAATCAAATATATTAGTAACAATATTCAATAATATAAATTGGGATAAGTATATAAGTTGCATTGATAAAATAGGTCTCTGGAAAAAGATTAGCATACTAGGATACTAGATAGGAATGATCTCCTATTGGGTGTATATAATAATCTCCCTCAAGCATAGACCATATAGGACTGTACTAGTAGATAATCCACACGATTATGACCATATATGCTGTAATCAACCTATTAAATCCAATATACTGGAAAGAGATTAGTACATTAGGGTACTAGGTAAGGATGATCTCCTAATGGGCGTATATGACAATCTCCCTAAATATCAACCATATGAGACTGTACTAGTGAATAACCTATACAATTATGGTCATATGTACCGTAGGATATTATATATGCAAAATTTAATTTCATAAAAGTATAAAATTACTTAACTAGTGGTTACTTAATAACTTGATTAAGAATAATACACGTAATAAAGATACTATATGAGAAGAAAAGTCACATACATCTAATTATAAGGTATTAAATCTTGTATTATATCATTTCTTCGAAAACATGTGAATTTATATATGCAATCTAAAATTCAGGTAAATTAGTAACTTTATTTATAACTTTATTTATATATATTGGTATATTATACATTATTATAAATATTATTTTGTCAATAAAAAATAGAAGCAAAACCTTATTGAATGGATAGAAGTGTAAGGCGAAGATAAAAAGGAAGAAATGAAGTATTTTGATCAATTCTACCAAGAATCCTAGGCTCTTTACAATTTAAAAAATGGCAATTTATCATCTAAAATTATATTTCTACTATCGCTACTTAAAAAATTATTATTTTAGAAGCTACTACTGCCAATAAGAATAGAATTATTTTTTTCTGGTTTCTTTTTCAACTCAGGTTTCAATTAAGTACGTTGTGACGATTTTTGGTGACGGTAGAAAGTAGCTAGTATGGCATTTTTTCCTTCCAAGTTCAGAAAAAGATAAATAGGTAGCATAGTATAGTGAATCAGAGAAATTAATATATTTATTATCTGGCTTTGAGCAGTTACTATGAAAAGGTAGGATAAAACATTATACATTTTCATGGAGGATCGTTTATCTCTTTTTCTTCTTTCATTAAACAATGCGGTAAATTCAACCACAGAATTTGAGCTCTTTCAGGATATTCAAATGTGTGATTTTGTACAGATATCTGCCCTAGATATGGAATATGTGTTAATAAATATCTGAAATACTTGTTAAGTTTATAATGTAATACTAAGTATTATTCATAGGGATCGCTACCATATGAAAACAAAAAATTTCTGATAAACTTTCTACATATTTTTGAACAAAAAATAATATATTAGAAATTAAAAAGACCTTTATCAAAATGAACAAAAGCTTAGCACACATATTTCTAAAGTTAATGCTAATTCCATTGCAGAGATTAACAAAATTAAGAATGAAATCTGTTTCAATTTTACTGCAGAGATCAATAAAATTAAGCATAAAATTAACGGTAAATTTACTGCAAAAATTAAAAAAAAAATTCACGTAATGTTGGTTACTTTGCAGAGACGCAGAAAATAAGATCAATAATCAGTGACTACAAGACTTGATGAAATTGAACAAGAATATCAAACTAATTTTACTAGATTTTATCAGAGTTTATCACAATAAATGCTACTATCCAAGTTCTTGTAAGACACGATGTAGATAGCATACTTGCTCAAAGAACTCAGTTAGTTATTTGATGAAGCTTTGAGTCTGCGCATGTGATGCACTGTGTATCTATATCATGTGATACTAAGAACGCAGATAAAAGCTAACCTGCAGAATTTTTAAACTGACTGTAATATACTTATGATACACAAATATTTCAAAAATGATCCTGATAAGTGAAGTATCATAGGTTTTCTAATAAAATGTACTGAAGAACTATTCAAACGTAAAATAGATCAATATGTTAAAGAGCTCGACACTATCATTAAATGTGAGTAAAGAGATACGTCTAAAAAGGCACAAAAACTTCTTGAAGAGTACAGAAAGGCAAGCAAGAAAATTTTTTTAGAGTGTAGGTGGGAATGGTAGTGTGACAAAGCCTGCTAGAAAATTCATTCATTCAAAGCTGCTAGCTAAGCTACAAACTAGTTCTAGGGCACAAATAACCTGCTAGATTATTTGTGTTAGTTCAGCTGATAGCTGATCTGGAACTGAACCTATTTAGATACAGATGACCTGCTAGGTTTTTCTGATGTTCTGTAGGATCAGAAATCAGATAGGAAAAAGGGTTACTAGTCAAAGATATCACTAACTCTCTAATTTTAATGATAAAAAGGAATCACGACTCGATTATTATAAAGCAAGAAAATCATTTACTCCAACTCCACATTCACAAACTAACAGTTACTGAGTTTAACAGGAGTATAAATGGAAATATAACTATCAGAACTATCAATGATAAGATTATTACTAATGGATTACCTAAAGAAACTATATCAAAAAGGAGCAATGAGAAAAAGGTATACAGTTACGTTTTTTAGCCAGAAGTTAAGAATCAGTAGAAACTAATTATTTGTATTATAACACTTTGAGACGAAAAGATCGAATAAGATTTTCTGAAAAAACTGACAAAAATAAATCAACTACCACGTACTTTACTATATCAAATTAAATCATCAGGCTCTTTGAGAACTTTTCCTCTAGAAACTAATAGAAATGTGTTTTCAATGTATATTCTGCAACAAACTATCATACATAATAAATTAACTTTTCTTCTAATATCTAGATTTCAGTAAATCAAGATCACAATGATGAGAATGATAATGAAAGTATAGGAAACAATTCACTACTTCACAATGAGTTTGTAAAAGAGATGCATTTAACTGATTAGCAGAAAACTTTGGGTCTATTCATATGCTTTGGCAAATATACTACGTAATAATATTAGTTTAATTAAAATAAAATCTTATAAATTAAATGAATAAAAGTCTACAAACCTAAATGTTGCTTTTTCATAAAATTTTTCATTAGCATTGAACATATTTTTGAAAAGAAGTTTCAAAAAATCTATGGATGTATGACCAATATCTAATTCTTTAGAAGCAAATTTATATAAATTCATGCTAAGACATTGTCTATGCTTTTTAGATATCTTAATTCTCGTAAAAAAATCTCCATATGAATATTAAATATTTGTCATTGAAAATGCTTCTTATGTTTCTTTTTTTTCCATCCTGATATGTTATAATGCTAGCAAAACTACCTGTAGATATATTTAGATATTCTTGAAATTTCAAATAATATCAGATTTCAGATGCTATAAGAATTTTTCAAATTTATAGGCTACTAGAATAATAATGAATTTAAAAAATATTTATTAATTAACATTACAATTTAAGATACATTTTTTTTGGCAATAATCCATGTATATATCAAAAGTATTAGTTAACTATACTTAAATATATTTAATATTAATAGATAACTGATAATCTAAATAAGCTTTTTTAACTTTAACATACCTCTTCAACAAATTTATTAATTTTTACAAGATTTTCTGTCATTTTATTAAAGATTTGTGAGATATCTATACTTTTATAAGTTTATTATATGTTGTTTTTAAAAAAAATAAAAAGAAAAATTTGAAAAAAAATTTTCATTAATATAATGTTCTATTTAATTGGTAATATTATAAATCATTTAGTATATTTAATATTATACAAAATTTTGTGTAATATACTATTATACAATCATCTAAATCATAATTTGTATAGTATAGTTTAACTGATTATATAGTATAGTTTATATGTATATTTATAATAGATTGCATTATATCATCGCAGTACTATCTAATCAAACTATCATCTGAAGTGGAGGTCAGGTTCAATTCTTAGGTAAGTTTAATGATATAGATATGATAACTACTTAATTTTCTGAGATTCTATAAGAATAATAATAACTCTATTTTTACCAATCTAATTTATAGGATTTTATCTATTGATGACTTCTAAAACTAAGAAATTGAGTCTTTTACATAGATAGTAGTCTTATACCTATAACATCAAACTCATCTGAAAATTGAACCTAGTCTCTATCTCTAATGATGATTCGATTGAATGGTACTGTAACAGTGTAATGCAGTCTATTATTATTATAACCACCTAAAAGTAGTACTTAATCTATTAATTACTAGTTAATCACTTCTTTACTTGTATATGGACTTCTGAATTTAAAAACATAAGATAATATCCATTATAGATCTATTAGCAAAAGGCAAATTTTTGTCAATCTCTGACTTCATTTACATCTATCTATTCTTCAAAATCTAATATTTAAATATTAAAGAAAAAGCTAAAGACGTCAGTTTCTTTAGCTCATCTATTGATGATTCAATTAATAATCTAAAAAATAATAATAATATTATAGGAAATTAGATTATATTTTATCCATGCTTTTAAGTATGCAAAAAACTATAACTAATTTAGAGTAATATATTGCTAAAGTCAAAAAGATCTAAGCCTTTATTTAAACTCTAGTTATATCACCATTTAAAGAAATTGTTTCTAGTATTTTTTACCTTTAGTCACTCTTTTAAGCTTTATTCAAAATAAGCATATTAGATTTGCTACCTCTTTATCAAATAAGAATAAATCTAAAAATCCCAAAATTTTAAATCCTAAAATCCGACTTTCATTGAAAAGTAGTCTTCAATTATTGCTGAATAACAAAAATAACTTCAATTATTAATGCCTAAATGCAAGAAATATTAGTATAATTGCAAAAGTCCTCTGATTTCTTCTTTTAATAATTGCTATCTATCCCAAACTCTTATATTATAATTAATATAAAGAATAATAATATATCAAATAACAAAATTTTACAAACCATCCTAATAAAAATTTTAAAATTCAAAATAAATACCTACTATTTATTTGCTATATACAATGTTAATTCACTTTAATATGTAATTAAAACTAATTCATTAATAACACTTTTTCAGATTTTAACCTATTTTATACTTTTTTTGAAATAGCTGAATCAATTCGTATGCTGATGTCAGTATTTTAATTAAAAAATATTAGACTATTTACATCTAAAAAGAAGATTTTATAGATGATGAATTTTAGAAATCTAATATTTACTGAAAGTTTTCAAAAGCTATTTTCTTAAATTTATTTAAAATTAAATTTAATACATATAATTTATATAGAATTTAAATATAATTATTTGCATTAATCAATTAAATTTACTATAATATCTCTGATTTAATCATTTATATAATTTGTATTATTTGTAAAAGGTAAAACATTATTTAGTATTTAAATTATATTTTGTATAATTTTCTATAAAAGCTTGACTAATAGTATTAAAATTATATTATAAAAGATTTTTTATTTCTAAAAGTATAATATTAAGTATATTTTTTGTTGAATTCTAAGATATAAAACATTTAACAAGTATTTTTTTTTAACTCTAATTTAATTTATCTATTATAATTTTAAATATAAAATAATTTGATCAGTTAGCTTATTAAAATATATTTTTTACATATGATTCTAATATTTTTTAATATCAACAGCTAATAGTTGTAACTAAAATTTAAATTTAAAATTAAAATTAAGTATTATCTCCTATCAAAAAATTAAAAATTGTTTTATACTTTTGTTATAGTATTAAAAGATATTTGATTAATTTAAAAATTTGTATGATAAGTTTAATAAATTTAAATAATAATATTTTATTTAGTTAAATTTCTAATTACTGTTTCATATTAATTTTGATAGATACTTAGTCTTTGCATAAATCTGAAATATATGTTGATGATATTTACATTTAAGTTATAAAACAGAATTGCTAAGCATTGAACTTTATAAGCTATATGGTTTTTAGATTATTATAATTTATTGAAATTATGTTTAAGCTGTTTGTTTTGATAACTCATTTCATTTAATATTTTTTCAGATTTGTAAAGAAAATCTGATATATATTGAATAGCTTTATTTTGTAAATAAAGTGAAATGACTTTATTTTCATTTTTTTCTATGTGGATATCTCATGATAGGATACTGATTTAAAATCAGTTTTTGAAGTATATTAATTATAACATATGTTTTATTTAATTTATTAATATCAGATGTGTTACAGATGGTGTTATGTATTTTTTTGAAGTTCATAATCAGTTTAGTAGTAATATACGTTTAGAAGGTTTAGGCATATTTAAGGATTCAATGATATAAAATATGCCAAAGAGTATTAATTACTTTAAACTTATAGTTTTAAATTTTTTCTAACAAAAGCCGATTTCTAACAAAAGGATTATTTTTCATTTTGTATCGCTAACAAAGACCTAAAATAAAAATTAAAAACGTCTAACTAATTAAATATTATATAATACTACAAAAATTACTAGAAAATATGGTTAGTATACAATTTTTCGAATACTAATTTTGGACTAGTAAAATACTAAAAGATCTTGTCAAATTATATACAATATTTATTATCTGCATAAAATATTTAAGAATTCCTTTTCATGTATACATGAAAAATTTTTGACTATATTAATATATCATGCCGAATTTCTTCTAAACAGACAGGATAAAACAGCTTATAAGGATCTGAATGGTGCTTTGCTAAGGCAGAACTATTTGAAAAATGACACATATTTAGGGGATGGAAGCATGGCAAGATTTGTGAAGGATGCGATCATCATATCCGCAAAGTAATAATAAGGTATATTGGTTTTATTGCTCGGCTAGCTTCTTGAAACATGTCATCACGATGTTAATCGATTTTCCCGCTTCTTTAGATGTTCCAAAATAAAACGAACATATTACTCTTCTCGTTATACTGTATATCGGCATTTTGATATTCGCCGAGAAAATCGTGATTGTGAATTAATTTCGAACCTATGGCACCGGAGAATAGAAATAAATATATGCCCATAATTTTCGATAAAAAATAAACGATACCCTACTAATCCACTTTCTTTTTCACTCTTATCATTATATTTCATTTTTGTAGCGTTCCACATTTGAGAAAATTGTTGCTTAATGATTTTTGTATCGATTATCGCGCCATATGTTTGATCTAAGACATGTGATGAACATCAGGCAAAGCCACAATTTATTGCGCTGATTTGACACGTGCCGGCCACGAAAAGTACTCTTTGCAGAACTTAATCTTTTACATGGTCTATGGGATGGAAGTGAAACTAGTGATATAGGTAGGCGAAAATATATATTATTAGAATGTGAGAAACTTAGTTTTTTAACACGAAATGATCCACTAAATGAACGTGACTTAATATAAAAGTAATACAATAAACTTTTTTACTTTTCTCGTAGCTATATATATATTTTACTTACAATAATTACTTACAAGATGCTTGAAAATGATTCATATCCGGCAAATATGTTCGACCTGCTCGTGCTAGACCTTCGTTCCAAAGATCTTCATGAAACAGTTTCCAAAGAACTTAACGTTGAATATTTATCGGAGTCTCAACACACAGAATTAAAAGAAATTAACGGCATGATATTCGGTCCTAATCTAAGAGTCATTGTTTCTTTGCCGGTTAGAATAAAGCAAAAAACAAAAAATGTTCACTTTATAGTAGATACGGGATCTCTGAAAACGTACATTTGTGAAGAAGTATTCGAATCCTTTAAAATACATATACCTCGCTCAACAACTTATCAGATATTATTAAACAATAAACGTACTGTCGTTCAATTGCCTCCCGCTAATTCACACTTCACGGACGTCAACGTTCTAGGAATGGAATACATGAAAGCTTCTGGAACAAATCTTAGTATAACCCTCACCAACGATTACGAAAGTGTTTCTTTATACTTTGATTATGATAAAAATGAAATCATATCTCACTTACAAAGTACTTTTCAAGTAGATCCTGATGTTCTAGGCAAAGTATTTGGACTTGTTTTACTTGTTACAATTGTTTCGGTTGCTATTTTTTAAAAAAAACCCGGTTTCTTTCTTTTGATCACAATTATATCTTTATCTTACAATATATACAAATGGATTGAAAGTCATTTTTAACAATTTTTTAAAAAATTCACGCGTATCTGCTTATATTTTCATTTGCAATTTTAAATTTTACACATCAATTACGAGGTTACATTATATTATTAGTTGGCAGAAATAAAATAAAAAAAATACACAATTCTTAATTAGCTTGTTCTATTTCAAGTTTTAAACTAGTTAAACCTTTTATCTCTTACTATTTTCTTCTCAATAATTATTTTCTGATTTCCTTCAAAGGTTCTTATTTCTCAATTAGTTTAAAAGTATTAGCCTTAGCTTGTAATATGAAATGCTTATAATCAAATAATGATGCATCCAGCTTGAAATTTACCAAGATATCTGTATCTCAGAAAATCTTTGCAAATAAGTATATTTCTAATTCTCAATATTGATAAGTTGCAAATCATTTATGACTTAGCTTACATAATAGCAAAGTAAATAATTTAATATTTAAAGAAGAACTTGCAAGCTTACAAAAAAGAAGTTAAAGATACATGTTACTAAAATTATTAAAAAAATCATAAAAATACAGTATAATATGCTATTTGTAGTAAGAACAAATCTTATAATTATTCTTAAAAAAAGAAAAAAAAGTAAAGTAAATTATCTCTTATTATTATTTAGATTAAATTCAATACTATTTTACTCATACAATTGATTAGGCATCTAGATTAACTGAACATTTTCTAGCATATGTTTACTAATATTAACCTGCTAGTTCTTTAATTATTCAATATTATTTTAGAAATAATGAATAAATAAATAATATTGAATTATATAAGATACTGATTTTTATCTAAAAATTTATAATTATATAATATCAATCTATTATATTTTGAGTTGATTATCCTATAAAAAATTTGTATACATTTTTTCATTATTATAAATTTTGTATACGTTTTTTGAAATTCTATAACACATTTCCTTATATTTTATAAGAAATTTTTTTTTAGCATTTTTTTTATAAAAAATAATGTATAAGGAATTGTTAATTAATAATATATAAAAATAATAAAA